AATGTTTATCAGGATATCAACTGCATTTTACTAGTTAGCCACTTTTTGATATCTTTCACAGAAAATGAGATATATAGGCTCAAAGTGGACGATCCGGGTGTCGTTCTATTAGAGGTTTTACGGTAGTCTAAAAATCATGAAACAACGAACTTAAAATAGTATGAAAAAGCACAAAATAGGCAAAAATCGTGTTCCCGGAATTGACATCTACAGTAATCCTAGGAAGAGTTACAGCAATCTAGGGGTACTGTAGCCTGTAGCCTATCCTAGCGGTACAGCAATCCTTTCTAGTTTATCCAAGAGTACACCAGGATTACTTTATCTAGGATAAGGATTACTGTAGCTATGCTAAGGATACAGTAACTAGGCTGGGGATTATTGTAGCTAGGATAAGGATTACTGTGACTAGGATAAAAAGATTATTGTAGCTAAGATAAAAACTACTACAGCTAGGCTAAGGTTACTGTAGCTCTTTGTAGGCTTTACTACAGTATCCTAGGATTACTAGGCTAAGGGTACTGTAACCAGGCTAATGTAGTATGAAGTCTATCCAGCCCCTTTTTAGTCTATCTACAGTATGCTAGGGTTACTGTACCCCAACTACAGTACTTCTAGAAGGTCTCAATGATCCACCCCTTCTTATCAAAGGGTAGTTTCTAGTTTCCCCTGTGTTCATTGTTCACTAATCAACCAAAAAAAAAAAAAAAAAGAAATTTCCTTATCACAAAAAAGGGGAAGCTTCTTTTTTCTTATCACTTATCACTGATGCTGATCACCAAGAGATGGTATTCTAATTTCGAAAAACCGGCTTTTCTGATGTCATTTTTCTTTATGTTCTTCGACCCCAGAATTCGATAATACAATATCCAAATTTTTCGTTGAAATCGGAAATGATAAAAGGAAGCTTTTGTCAACGACAAAATGATCAAATTTAGAGGAGAATAAAGGAAAAGGGAAAAGAAGATTCTAGAAAAAGAAAAGGGGACTAGCCTATCTACAGTAATCCCGGGTTACTGTAGATAGATAAAAACAAGTACAGTACTTCAGGGAAGACTACATGCTAGATTAGCCTAGTTACAGTATCCTTAGCCTAGTAATCCTGGGGTACTGTCGGTTAGCCTACAAAGAGCTACAGTAACCTTAGCCTAGCTGCAGTAGTTTTCATCCTAACTACAATAATCGTTTTATCCTAACTATACATAGTAATCCTTATCCTAGTTATAGTAATATTTATCCTAGCTACAGTAATCCTTATCCTAGCTACAGTAATCTTCATTTTAGCTAGAGTAATCCCGGGATACAACACCTCTGGGATAGACTACAAACTAAATTAGGCTAGTTACAGTATCCTTAGTTTTTGATTTTTGAAAATTTGGAGTTTTTGAAATATTGAAAATTTGGAATTTTGAAAATTTTAGATTTTATAAAATTTTGAATAATTTGATTTTTTTTTTCTTAATTTTATGATTTTTCAAAAATTTGGAAATCTGGGATTTCTTAAAATTTTGAAATTTTGGGATTTTTCAAAAAATTTTTAAATTAGCATTACAGTAACCTAGCCTTCATTCTAGCCTTCATTCTAGCTACTGTAATCCTTATCATAGCTACAGTAATACTTATCCCAGCTACAGCACCCTTGGCCTGGGATATATTTAATACCTCTGAGATGGACTACATACTTCATTGGCCTAGTTACAGTAACCCTAGAATAGCTACAGTAACCATTGCATAGCTATAGTAGTGGGACCACTATCTATGTAGGTACAGTACCCCTACATCACTGTAACTCTTCCTAGAATTACGGTAAATGCGAATGTTTTGGAACGTGTTTTCATAATTTTTATATTAAAAATGGCTTGAAAACTTCAAATCTTGAATTCTGGATTTTCCCAGTATTACTCGGATTACTGTACATGGTTCTGCACCTGGGATACTGTAGTCAATAGTACTATAACTATCCCATAATCAGGGTTACTGTAAATAGACTAGTAGGCATACTGGTTCCCAAGGGATTACGGTAGGTTCTACATATTCGGTTTCAATCGATTTCGTAAATCTACAGTAATCTTTCAGGGAATTGTCTGAAAATCATGAAAAATGGCTTAAAATCCTCCTATATTCAAGGAGACAAGGCGAAAAATCTGAAATTCGAGATAAAAAAAAACCACAAACCTTTCCGAACCATCTGCACAATCCCATATTTTTGTGGTTTTTCGGGCTGAAATTTTTTCAGATTTTTTACTATTTTTTATTGAGGTAAAAAATGTTTTTTTTTGTGCTAAAAAAAAGAAAGTAATTCTACCTGGTTTTGATTAAATAGAAGGAAATAAATTACTTTTTTCCGTGCGTTTTCTTATGCTCAAAAAGTGATATTATATGTATATTTCTGACTCTTTTCCCCCCCTTCCTCTCAACATTTGGACCTCCCACTTACTTCAGAAAAGCACGAGGAAGATAATTAGTGGGTTTGAATGAATCATTTCGGAAAATTTTGCTATTTTCTATAGTAAATATCACATGGAAGAAGTATCACAAGTTTCGAGGAGACAACCTTATGATATGAATTTGTGCAAACTTCCTGTAGCTAGCTAGAATTTGAAAATTATAAAAATGTGTAGAATTTAATTTTAAACATTTTATTAGTTTACAAAAATAATCTAGCTTTCTTAGTTTTAAAGATATGCGCCTTTAAAGTTAGCCGACCCTACCTGCGGCCGGAGATGGGAGGGCAAGGGGGCACCTTGCAGGTCAATTTTAAAGGCGCATAACTCTAGAACTACTGTAGCTAGCTAAAAATTGTAAACTATCAAAATGTGTAAAATTCAATTTTCTACATATTTGTTGTTATAAACTTTTTGGTAGCTAAATTTGTTTTTGAGTTATGTGTCTTTAAACAGAGTGAACGCAGCAAAGGGCATAAGAAGGTTTCAAAGACGCAAAACTACAATAATATACTAGTTTTCGGGGAGTTTACTGTATAAATTTTCAAAAAATAAAGTAAAAAAAAGAACTTACACTAAGCAAGAAATTTTGAACCATTTGACAGATTGAAAGGCATCGAGAAGCACCCATCAAGGTACTGGGTTCAATTTGGCATTTTGCATTTCATCTGGCTACGGTCAGGATCATCAGAAGTGGTCTAAAGTATTCAGGATTTTTAGCAAAAAAGTTGGAAAAAAACTTACATTCTCGGACGGAATCGAGCAGTTTGGGTGGCTTGGGTATGGTCAAAATGATCCATTTAAAGATCATCTAGGATTACAACCTCGCAGGATTCGGTTAAAGGCGCATAACTCAGTTCAAACTTAGTATTTAACTATGACTCGAAAAGTGAAACGTATAACTGGACAAGATCTACAAAATAATACTAAATTCCATTAGATTCGAATGACAAGTTTTAGTGTTAGAAGCTGTAAAAGAGGCAGGTGGGCAAAATTGGCCCTTGTAGCGTTGTCTCGGCTCTTACAGGTTAGAATTTTTATCAGATTGACGAATTTAATATCATTTCGTAGACTTCGTTGAGTTTCACATGATAGTATGAAAATCAAAGAAAAATTCTCAGCTACAGTAATCCTAGACCTGTTAAAATCATCTCAGGATAGCTACTGGAAGCTTAAAACAGCTTCTATAATCTTTGAACAGCTACAGTAAGCCTGGAATAGCTAGAGTAACATTAGCGTAACTCAATATCTGTTATAACAGAACAACTATCTAGGTAGAGTACCCCTAGGCTACTATAACTTTTTTCAGGATTACTGTAGGTGCGAACTTTGGACATACATATTGTTAGGGGTCGTAAAGTACTTTGACCTCTCTTCCTACCTGATTTTTGACCCTCTTCTCACCATCTGCTCATCTGATGACGTCAAAGTCTTCTTCCTCGTCTTCTTCTTTTTATAAGTCACACTTGCGTACCCTTTCCCTTTTTGACGGGTCCCATTTCGTTGATTCTAGAGGTTTTTGGCTATTTTTAGAGCTTTTTCGAGCGCTTTGGAGCATTTTAAGCGCTTTTTGACTTATTTGAAGCTATTTCAAGCTATTGTTCATGATTTTTAAGTTATTTAAAATAAAATTTGAATTCAAATACATCATTTTATTCTGCAAAAAATCCTCAAATTAGAAAAAAAAATCAAATGCGATCTCTCCTGCCAACTGACGTCTTGCATTCTGGGCACTCATGTTCGATGTCTTCAAAACATTTACACCAAAAACAAAATACAAAAAAGCAGGGCAAAAAAAGACACAGGATGAAGAGCAACAAGTTGAGCAGTCCGCATTTTCGATGGGTTACTGTAGTTGTGACAGTCTGAAAATTGTTATTTTTTGAAATCTTTTTTGAAACAAACATATCACTAAAATTAAAAACGCTAGACAATTTTTGTTAACTATGAAAATGTAGAACATAACATTTTACATTTTTTGTTAGTTAGCAATTTTTCAATATGTACTGTAGTTTTTGAGGTGTGCGCCTTTAAAGTCGCTTTCCTTTCCGCGCCTCTTCTTCTAGGCCACCAGGGTACTCCAGCTTTGAAGGCGCTTATCTCAAAAACGAAAAAAGCTAGATAAATTTTGTAAATAATGAAAATGTAGAACATAACATTTTACATATTTTTTTTAGTTGACGACATTTAGCTAGTTACCGTAGTTTTTTAGTTATGCGCCTTTAAAGTTAGACGCCCCCACCTACGCTCCACCTCTGGGGTATAGTGGGCGCAGGAGTGGGGATGGGAGGGACGCGCCGAGCACACTAACTTTAAAGGCGCATATCTCAAAAACTACAGTAACTGTAAACTATTTTCCAATCAACAAAATGTGTAAAATTTAACGCCTTACATTTTCTAAGTTGACAAAAAAATGATAGCTCTTTTAGTTTTTGAGATATCCTAAAATTACCAACCTGACACCTCGGACAGTAAGCCCGATAGGGTTTTTTATGGGGTACATATGTGGCTTCAGCTGGTACCATATTTTCAATATCTAGCATTCTTCTAGAGTATATTTCGAAAGTCAAAAAGAAGAAGATAGGGATGAAATGGCTCTAAAAAATTTTATGACAACATTCATAAGAAAAATTTTTCAATTTTCTCTAGAAATGTCATTTTATGGTCATATATTTTTTTTTCTAATCCTTTTAAAATCATTTTTACCAAATTTGCTAACAAAATTAATTGATTTCCAGAAAGAATAAAAAAGAGAGAGAGTGAAACGCAGAGAAATGAGAAACTCTCGATTCTCTGCGTCTCCCCTGGTAAAAATAGTGCATTAAATTTAAAGGCGCATATCTCAAAAACTACTGTAGCTATGAAAAAGATATAAACTACAAAAATGTGTAAATTTTTATTTTCTACATTTTTATAGTTGACAAAATGTGTTTAGCTATCTTAGTTTCCAAGATATGCGCATTTAAAGATGGTCTCCCTGGCGCCCCTACCCTGCTGAAAGGGAAGCGCCGCATGTGGGGGCCGCCTAACTTTAAAGGCGCATATCTCAAAAACCACTGTAGCTATCAAAAAGTTATAAACTACAAAAATGTGTAAAATTTTATGTTCTACGTTTCAACAGTTAACAAATTTTTAAAATCTCTTTTAGTTTTGGAGTTATGCGTCTTTAAAGTTAATAAATACTTTTAAAATCCATATTTTTCCGGTTCATTGTTTTGAACGCTGCATTTTTTGTTTGTTTTATGATTTTAATCAGTAAAGGAAGGGAGGGAAAACACAAAACAATACAAACTGGATTTTTTTTAATTGCTCAGCTGATTTTTTTCCCAGGCCAAAAAATCATTCTTTCAGTAGGCAGAATTTTTTTTTGATTTTCGAATTTTTTGTAAAATGAAATTCTTCTTTTCCTTCTAAATTTTAAATTCTCAAGGATCCTTGAGGAAAAGGAAATCTGATACTATTTTCCTTGTTTTCTTCTCCTATTTTTTCTGAAAATTCCCACAATTTTTTTCTTTAGCCAAATATATATTCCTAACTTTTTTTTTCTGATACTTCCCACAAGATTTTTTGTGTTTTTCTCAGAAAAAATGGGCAAACAAGACGTTTTTCACTAAAATAAATAAATACCGATGAGTCAAAAGGAAAATATTAGAGATATCGTCATTTTTTCTGTGAAACTGGTCAAAAAATGACTGACAGCCAAGTTTAAAGGCCCATATATCAAAAACTAAAAATGCTAGAACAAAAATTCAAATTGGAAAATGTTTAAAATTCAATTTTCTACATGTTTGTATTTAACAACGTTTTAATAACTACTGCAGTTTTTGA